TAGCAACCTCAGCCTACAAAATATCACAGATGTAGTGATCGCGTATGCGGAGGATTCGCACTCCCCGAGTGCCTTTCTAGTTATATCTGCTTTTATATCAATGTTTCTTAAAATATCTCTGTGTCTATTTGAGCATGATTGCTAAGTAACGGTTTACATTCACGTGTGAATTTGGGACATGTTTATTAATGTGTTAGGGAGAGTGTATTCTGGTTAAACAGTTCTTGTTGTTGGGTTGGGGGGGGGGTATATGTGTAAGGGTTGTGCAGCAGTGTATTTGGAAATCCTTGAACAAGTAACATATTTGCAATACAGTACTGTACTTAGTTTGAAATTAAAGAGTTTTTCGTGAATAACAAACTAATCATCATTTTTTTAATATCACAGATTATGATAAGAAGCATATTTCTCTTCTTGGACAGGACCTACGTCTTACAGAACTCTTCAATGCCATCTATATGGTAATATAAACTAACTGAATGATTGTAAGGAAGAAAAGTCTTGTATAGTAAGAGTTGAACAACCAGTCACAGGAGAATCGCTTTTATTTCTTCGTCAGCACTGTTACACTCTTCAACCAGTATATAAACTACACACTTTCTAGCCCAGGTTTCTTCCATCCTCTACCTTATATATGGGAGTTTTCTCTCCCTGCCCAATAACCTAGGCTTTCCTTCGCTTTGTAATTTGCTTGTGACACACCAGCAATGGTGGTTGCTACATGGGACCTGATTACTGGCCAGTCGCCAATTCTCCCGGTTGCGTCATCATATCTGCATGCGTTTCCACTATCCCCTAGAGTTGCTACTGACTAATTATTGTGGCCGCCTCTCTTGTGAATGTCCTTTAAGACTAGTGACTACACCAATGCCTTGCTACAGATTAACTACATAAGGGGGGTTATTAATAGTTTGGATTTAAATCCATATAAAGAATATTCCAAGTGTTGTGCGACAGCATTCAATGTTGTTCACTAAATAATTCATTATAGTTCTTAGTGGCATAGTCGGTGTCCACTGACATTGACAAACTATTGGGTGAGAGCGCTGTTTTATCACACTATGAGCATTTTCCCCAGCGAGCCATAGTAGCGCGATTGAGATACTTCCGGAGTGAAGCGAACGCTCATGAAGGACCATCCATTTTATTTGCGGTTGTTTTTTGCATTCTCCACATTTATATCTAACAATTTTTGAGCAATTTGATCAAGGTCAAAGTAAACAAGTACGTTATCAAGGTCACCCCTGAGAGATGAGTATTTGCCATAGCAGAGGAGCCGATGTCACAAAACGAATGCTGTCTGCTTCATGTGTTGCAGGGACATGGGGTTAGAACTGTTCAGAGTTCATATCATCAGCAACAGGTCTGTACAGAATAGGACTGTCGTCGGGTTACTCCTTCTCATCGAGAGCGAACGAAACGGCGAGGCCGTAGACAGGAGCCTTCTGAAGAGCCTGCTACGAATGCTGTCAGACTTACAAGTAAGCATACGTACGAGAAGCAAGCCGAAGCCGTGGCGTCAGACTAGCAAGTAGCTATATGTATAAGAAGCAAGTGAGAGTACGGTGTCAGACTAAGAAGTATGTATCTATATAAGAAGCAGGTGAGAGTACGGTGTCAGACTAAAAAGTAGGTGAGAGTACGGTGTCAGACTAAGAAGTAGGTATCTGTATAAGAAGCAGGTGAGAGTACGGTGTCAGACTAAGAAGTATGTATTTGTATAAGAAGCAGGTGAGAGTACGGTGTCAGACTAAGAAGTAGGTGAGAGTACGGTGTCAGACTGAGAAGTAGGTATATGTATAAGAAGCAGGTGAGAGTACGGTGTCAGACTAAGAAGTCGGTGAGAGTACAGTGTTAGACTAAGAAGTAGGTATATGTATAAGAAGCGGGCAAGAGTTCAATGTGAGTTCGTTCAAGAAGGTATACATGTAAGAAGCTGGCAGGGGTGCATAGTCGCACCTACATGTAGGTGTATGTATGAGAAGTAGGGAGGTGAATGTTTACCCTTACAAGTAAGTATACATGTGTGCATTTTTAGCTCATCTGACATAGTCAGATGCAGCTTGTAGAATCGCATGAGCGTGCGTCCGTGTGTCCGTCCGTGCGTCCGTCCGTCCGTCAACAGTTGGGCACAAATCTAAACGGCTCGAGGTACGGATTCGAAAGTCGGGACGTGGGGGGGTAATCTGAAAACGAGTTGGGATGTCGAAGCTTGGGGGTCAAAGGTCAAAGGTCAAGAGGTGTAAAAGAAGGGGGAACATTTCCTCCTTAACTTAAGGTATAGGGAGGAAATGCAAAATTGCGGCACAAATCTAAACGGCTCGACCTAGGCTCGTGATAGTCGGTGTATAGCATCATGGTAGGAAAAGCCATCACTGTGCCGAAATTGGAGGTCACAGGGCAGATTTTAGACATTTTCTGAGGACATGATCTGACGGAGCGATTGAACAACTTTTTTGTTTCAGCGGTGACCTACCATTTTTATGACTTTATTGAAAGGACCATGAAGTGTACTTTCCGCTGACATGCGAAGAGTAAGTGTCGGATAACCTTTTGAACCTCAAGAGGAGGGTTAAACATGGATTTGTCTACTGTTAGAAAGAATTTGACTGCCGGGTTTGCTAATAGAATCTATACATGCCTGGACGTATGAGGCTACAATGTCACAGTGAAATTTTAAAAGCTAAATTTGGTTGAAGAAGGTTTATGCTCCTTAAATCGTATAATTTCTATGGCATTCTGTACTGTCAGTGTGTTACATGTAACTTATGCCACTGCCAGTGGCCACTGCCACTGCCAGTGCATGTGGTGGTGATAGTACTGTGTAGTTTTTACCTACGTTAATTAGTTACAGGTGGCAGCTCTCTATTTCAGCCTGTAGGCTTGCGTAGGGAAATGGATGAGTGCTTACCTATTCTGTCTTGCAAAAAGTTGTTGCTACTACGTACGATGGGAGCTTCCATCTTTAATTAGACACTTAAACGTACGCGCCATCTCGTGGCAACTTTCATAACGATCCCAATGAACATTCCTTCGAGAAGTTTCCTGATACCATCCCTGTGCCTTCCAATGTTTCGGCGCATATGTGAACACATTTGGGACTAACAGGGTTTACTAGAATTCCACCACTTCACCACAGAGTCACCGCAGTAGACGTAAGATGAGCGCTGTCGCTCCGCCACCCTATTTTGTGTATGTAAGCAGATCTACCACGTAGTATTCGAGGTACAATTTTCTTTTTGCTCCCTTCACCCTGTGAAACCAAACGTGCTAGGCGTTTTTTTTTGGTTTCTACGTGCTAATTTTTTGGCAAAAATGGGAATTGCCATTAGTCAATTCAGGTTCAACGGATTTTGCTCATTTTTGGTATGTGAATGAATAAGGGCTAGGGGTTTTGATATTTTTCTTATGCAAATTAGGTAGGGTTTGGCAATTATATAGCATATTATATAGACATGCAGATAACAAACAGTCTGTGGTGTCACACTCGTCTGGTTCGTTTTACAAGATTTCATTGACAATATCTTTAATGCAAAATTCCTGCTATGAACATATTATGATTTATACTATTATTATTATATTATTATTATTATGATATATAATAATGATTTATGCTAAGAAACATCAAAGCGGGTATAGCGCCATCTATCGTCACAAATTGTGATTCATTTTGGTTTATAAATTATTTATAATTTATAATATTATTTATTATTTTCACATAAAAAATTACCCATATAATTATCAAGAGTATATAATGGGAGTTACTCCCATATATACTCTTCGTTTCTATAATGTACGTCGATGGTTGCTCAATTAAAACTGACTTTTTCTCACTCACTCATTTGTGTCCTTTTTTTGTGGTGAGCTACAGTGTCATTGACACTTTCATCTTCCTGCTCCCTTCACGCTGTACTAACCATGTGCTCATGTGACTGCGTGCGCAGATCTACCACGAGGTATTCGAAGTTCTTTCTGCTTCCTTCACCCTGTGCTAACCATGTGCTATGTGGTACAGTTTCTTTCTGATCCGTTCACCCTCTACTAACCATGTGCCCGCAGATCTACCACGAGGTATTCGAGGTGCAGTTTCTCGAGGCGACGAACCAGCTGTATCGCACTGAGGGCCAGCAGCTGATGCAGGAGCGCGACGTGCCCGAGTATCTGATGCACGTCGACAAGCGTCTGAACGAGGAAACCGAGCGTCTGCTGCACTACCTCGACCAGAGCACCAAGTACGCGTCGTGTTGTGTCGCGTCGTGCGCTGTGTTGTGTCATGCACCATGCCGTGTCGTGTCCTGCTGCGTGCAGTGTTGTGTCGTGCCGTGTCGTGTCCTGCTGCGCGCAGTGTTGTGTCGTGCCGTGCCGTTTCCTGCTGCGTGCAGTGTTGTGTCGTGCCGTGCCGTTTCCTGCATAGTGCCGGCTTGTGTCGTGCCATGTCGTGACGTGCACATTATATATTGCGTCCTGTCGTGCGGTGCGCCATACCGTGTCATGTCGCATCCTATGTCGTGTACTGTGTCGTGTCATGTCGCATCCTATGTCGTGTACTGTGTCGTGTCATCTCGTGTCCTGCGCCGTGTCATGTCGTGCGCCGTTCTGGGTCGTGTCGTGTCCTGCGTCGTGCAACGCGTCGTGATGTAGTGCAGTGCAGTGCAGTGCAGTGGGATGGGGTGTGGCTAGATGTGTCGTGATGCGATGTGAAATTAGTCATGTTAGTGTGGCTTACCTTATCTCGTACAATCTTATCCCATCTTGTCTTATATTGTTGCATAGTGATTGGGAAAATCATAGTGCATATTTTTCGTAACGTTTTACATATCATATGTTATGTATGTGTCATGTTGACTGATGGTCAATACTTCTGAATCGAGTTGTTGACTGTTGTGATTAGCACTCGTTTTTAATACCAATTGAATTTCATTCAGGAAAGCACTGATCACCTGTGTGGAGCACCAACTTCTTGGTGACCATCTATCCAGCATACTTCAGAAAGGTAGAACATTTACAAAATGCTGTTTGCATTAGATTAATGATGATTTTTAGTTTTACTATTGTTTTATTTTTATCCTGGCAGGGGTATTAAAATCTTGGTGTTTCTGTCTAAAATTATATATTGCATCATCTAAATGTAATTAGACTTTAAACTTTTGGTGCCCTTTCATTGAATTAATAAGTTGTATATCTTGTTGTTGTTGTTTCTTTGTTTGTTTGTTTGCGAGAGATTTTATTCTGTGAGTTTAAGTAGCGTGAAAGTAGCATGTCGCAGTTAAATTAGCATGTTTCCCAGAACTGTCAGTCTGTTGGCCTATCTTTGTAGCAACATGTTCGAGAATTATTTTGATGGTAGGTAATGCATTGAGTGAAATCATTATATGGATTGTAGGATGTGTCCTGACTGAGAGACGGACATTGTCATTTGAAATAACCGGAACCATTCACTCAGGTTGTTTGTCTTTGGTTTAGGATTCGACAACTTGATGGAGGCAAATCGAACGAGCGACCTAACTCTCATGTACCAGCTGTTCAGCCGAGTAAAGAATGGACTGCATGAGCTGTGTGCAGGATTCAGTAGTTACGTGAAGGTATCGTGTCGATCACCAGTGTATCACTTTAATTATTTTACTACCTTTATCAATCACTGTGAAATGGAAAGTAAGGAGTACTTGTCCATGGTGGCTTTTATCCAATGTTCGTACAATATTGTCCATTCTATAGTGAATCATATTCACTTACGTGAAGGTAATCCATCGATTACCAGTCAATGTGTCATGTTTATTATTTAATAACTTTAATAATCACTGTGAAATAGGAAGTTGGGAGCATGTACTTGGTTTGTCTGCAAACGTAAGCATTGCGTACGTGTCCGTGGCCTTTATCCAATGTTCATACAAGCTTCTTACATTCTCCATACTTTCTATTTCATAGTGATCCATCTTCATGTCAGCATGGAATTAGCTGAAAGTTTTACTGGTGATCAGTGAGCAGTTCACGGCGTGCAAAGACGTCAGCGAAGCGTGCAACGTGATGTGAAGATCTCGGGGCGAAGCTTGCAGTGCAGCATGATGACCTGAACTTCACAACGTCTCTCTCTCTCTCTCTTCTCTCTCTCGTCTCTCTCCTTCTCTTTCTCTCACACACAACCTCTCTCTCCTCCCCTCTCCCCGCTCTCTCTCTCTCTCCTCTCCTCTCTCTCTCTCTCTCTCTCTCTCTCATTCTCCCTCTCTCTCTCTCTACTCTCTCTCTCTCTCTCTTTCACTAGTCTCTTGTGCTCTATCTCTATCCTATCTCTATCTCTATTCATATCTCTTCCCTCTACTCTCCCTCTCTCGCTCTCTCTCTACTCATATCTCTCTCGCTCTCTCTCTTCTCTCTCTCTCTTTCTATCTCTCTATTTGTCTATCTCACAGAAACGCGGACGGGCGATCGTCATCAACCCGGAGAAGGACAAGACGATGGTGCAGGAGCTGCTGGACTTCAAGGAGAAGCTGGACACGATCGTGTCCGACTGCTTCCAGAACAACGAGAAGTTCATCCTCGCGCTGAAGGACTCGTTTGAGTACTTCATTAACCAGCGGCTGAACAACAGCAGAGCTCTAGGTGTGTGTGTGTTTTGTGGGAGGAGCGTGTGCGTGTGGTGTGTGTGTTGCAATGTGTGTGGGAGGACGTGCTGCTGTGTGTTGGTGGCAAGTGCGTGCGTGCGTTGTCTCCCTCGCTGTGCTGTGCGTTGCGGTGCGTTGGGTGCGTGCGTGCGTGCGTGACGTGCGTGTTGATGGGGAGGACGTCTGTGTGTGTGTGTGTGCCTTTCGAGGTGTGTGCGGTGCGTTGCGTGCGCTGCTCGGAGTGGTGCGTGCGTGTGTGGCGTGGTGCGTGATGATGTGTGCGTGGTGAATGTGTGTGGGAGGGCGCGGTGTGTGTGTGCGTGCGTGCTGTGTATGGCGGTGAGGGGTGGGGGTCGTGGTGCGTGAGTCGTACGTGCGTTTGAAATGTGTTGGGAGGGCTGTGGTGTGCGTGGGAGGGTTGAGTGTGTGCGTGTTTGTGTGTGTGTGCTGTGTGTGTGCATGCCGTGCGAGGTTGATGGCGTTGGTGCGTGATGTGTGGTGCGTGTGTGAGGTGGGTGGTAAGTAGGTGCGTACGTGTCGGTGCACGGTGTGTCTGTGTCTGCAGTCCTCTGATCAAGCCAGTGATGGCGCTGGGTGGGTGCGTTGCATGCTTGTGCCATCTTGGGTCGAGAGTGTGGTCCTGATCAAACAGTATTTATGCTCGGTATTATCATTACGCATTACTCTATTTCAGATTTCAGATTTTTTCTGCAAAAAATGTTCATTGCAAAATTTCTTCCTCCATTAAAATGTGACAATACTAAAATGAGCATTATAATAATAATTTATCGGGTTGCCTCATTATTCGTCGGGTGCGCCCAAAATCGTGTTGTATTACTCATCATGACTTTTTCGATTGCTAGGAGAACATTAGCGGTCACAACTCCTGCTAATATATACGTTTTCACACTCTATCTCTTTTTGCCGAGTGCTAAGCAGAGAAGCAGTGTGTACCATTTTTCAAGTCTTTGGTATGACCTGGCCAGTCTTAGTTTATTCCATTCCTATTCACTTGCTCCTGTTTTGTATTTTTTTCGCTACGGCTGACTGAAGGTCAGACGAGGTTATTAGAATCGCGAATGGATTGTCCGATCGTCCGTCACAGCTTGGGCACAAATCTTAAACGCTCGAGTACCGTCTTTGATTATTCGCGGACATGGGGGGGGGGGGATCGCCGAAAAGGACTCGAGATGGTCGGCAATTTGGCGGTCAATGGGTCAAAGGTTCAAGATTGTGTCATAGAAGGCCGGAATGTTTCCCAAATTTTTCCCAATTCCAATATTTCTTAACTTAAGGTATAGGAGAAAATACGGAATTGCCATGCACAAATCTCAACGGCTCGACCTACGCTCTTAATATTCGATGTATACGTGTGATGGGGAAGCAAACCCACTCACCAGTGCGAAATTGGAGGTCACAGCGTCAAAGGGCCAGTGTGCGGGAAAGGCTCAGATATCAGACATTTTCTTGAGGACAGTCTAACCAAACGAGTGCAAAACTTTTTTGTTTCACCGCTTGACCTCCATTTTTATCATTTATTGAAACGCCATGAAATTTGGCTATTCCGCTGACGTGAAACAGTAAGGTGTCAGATACTTTTTGACCTGCAAGAGGGATGGTTAACATGGATTGTTGACTGTTAACAAAGGAACTGCAACTGCTTTTTGCCTATTAGAGCCCCCGTTCACCCGCCCTTTCCCGCCACCGCCCCTCCCACTCCTCCCACCCTCCCCACCTACCCCAGCCACCACACTAGCTCTGCGCTCGACGCGATTACTATCCATGATAACATGTTAATATAGCGAAGTCATTAAAGTTAACACAGCTGTATCTTTTATTACTGCTACTACAGTAGGGCATAGCAAAGGCCTATCATAGATTTTAATCTGTATTAGTAGTATCCTAGAGATATATGCTTGAGTCGCGTGAACGCGGTGGCGGGATCAGGGCGCACTTGATTCGCAGTTGCAGTGAGTTTTATTCGAAGAATACCTGGCTACAGTACGACGTCAGTGAGCGCCTAGTCGCTCTGCCGGCCTTGTTGTTTTTGTTTGTGATGCTGTGTTAGGAGTTTGCGGTTGATAGCATATTATGACCTGAAATGTCAGTAACAATTACAGCAAAAATGTAATTCAATTTACAACTATTGACTGTCTATCAAGAGTGATTGTGCTCGTACAACAATGTAGTTTAGCTACAGTTGATGAACGTTGTATTTCAGCCAAATTCGTCGACTCAAAGCTGCGAGCTGGAAACAAAGAGGCGACGGAGGAGGAGTTGGAGCGATTGCTTGATAAGATCATGGTGATATTTCGATTTATACATGGTGAGTGTACGGTGTTTCTCTCATCGTGTCATGACTACTCACTAGGTGTTTATTACATTATTTACTTTTGATTAAACTTTTAACTAATTTCAACGAATTAATATAGACTGATTTGCCAAATTCTGAATGCATTCAAACATTTCTTTGCAATATCTGCTAATATGGAGTGGATGTGCACACGTCACGTCGCATGTATGTTTTGTGCATCAAGTAGAGATTGGTGCTCCTCCTGCTGGGTTGCTTTTATTAAGCCTCATCTGACATAGTCAGATGCAGCTTGTAAGAATCGCATGATCGTCCGTCGTTCGTCCGTGCGTCCGTCCGGTCCTGTCCGTCCGTCCTGTCCCGTCCGTCAACAGTTTGGGCACACAATCTTAACACGCTCGACGTAACAGGTCACGATCATTTGGGTCGTATGATGGGGGTATCGCTCAAAACGGTTTGCGATGTCGAAGCTGGGGCAAAGCCGTCAAAGGTCAAGAGGTGTAAAAGAAGGGCGAACTTCACTCCTTAGACTTAAGGTTAAGCGGAGGCATAATGCAGCAATTGCCGGGCACAAATCTAAACGGCTCGACCTAGGCTCCGTGATAGTCGGTGTATCAGATCCATGGTAGGAAAAGCCGATCACTGCGCCGAAAATTGAGCGTCACAGGTCAAAGTCAATGCGCACAGGCGCAGATTTTAGGACATTTTCTCTGAGACCGAATGGCTCTGACGGAGCGATGTGAAAACTTTTTTTGTTTCAGCGGGTCTCGACCTAGCATTTTTATGGCTTATTGAAAGGCACCATGAAACTTGCTCCCTTTGCCTGACATTGCGAATAGGTAAGTGTCGGATACCTTTTTGACCCTCAAGAGGAGGGTTAAACATGGCATTGCTTGACTGTTAACAGGAGGAGTCGAACTGCTTATTGCTATTTAGAGCCCCTTCCCCCCACCCTCCCCCTTCCCCTCCCCTGTCCTAACAATGATGTGTACGAACTGGCGTGTCTGCATATCTGCCGCCTAACAATTTGGTACACGCCACGACTTGGAAATTTTGACGTTTTATAATCGTTAGCATACAGACTCAGATGAGCAGACGCTCTCTGCTGGCTCTTTCGTTACCAATGATGTCTCATAATTTGTGTTTCTTTCTATCTATTCTCATAATAATCATACGAATTTTGTCGTGCTTTGCAGGCAAAGATGTTTTCGAAGCATTTTACAAAAGGATCTTGCAAAGAGACTTTTGTAGAAAAAGTGCTTCTGTGGATGCAGAGAAATCCATGCTGTCCAAGTTGAAACAAGGTTTGTGTATGTGGTAGATTATAGGTATATGCGTGGATAACATACCTATCCTACAATGCTATCAAGACCGTGGATACCTAAGGCCATAATACAACAATAATTAGCTGAAATTCCAAGTTTGTGCAAGATTCCAAGTTTGGGCACAACATGGATACCTAAGGCCATAATAAAAATATTGTTTGTTTGCCCTCACCCGACCGACCGGCCAAATAATTTTATTGACCTTTCCCATTTTTTTTTAAACAAATTGTATCACTGTACAATACATTATATAAATCTGTAGGCAATACATTATATGTACCAAGCAAAACAAACATTTAACATAAAAGGTATCTCCACACAAGCACACCCGAGCATGTAGACATCATGCTGAATTTGTAAAAAAAAGAAGCCTACCTACCTACCCAAACTTTTCAGCCTGGGTCGGTTGAGGGCAAACAAAGATTTTTTTTAATTGTGGCCTAGTGCTATTATCCACATGTTTTTTCTCACTAGTTATTGATTCTTATCGAAACGATCTTTTAAACAATTTATTAAAAGAGCTTTCGCTGTTGTGCCTTGAGTTTACTTTTACTAATGATTTTAGATACACAGGATTCTACTGGGGATGTTATATAAACATGTCTAACTATGTCACACAGAATCTCGAATGTGAGAATCATGCGAGACTTTCCTCGCAGCTGATTAACTAAACTCTTAATGGTATTGATAAAATAAAGAGGTTGTGATGTGAATGATGAGTACTATTGGGTCTGAGCCCTGATGGAAAGCTTACCTTACCTACTCTGACACATGCCGCTCTGTGCGGCTGGTCGTATAGTTCCGTTTTACTACATCGGCTGTAATTATTTGCTATAGAGTAAGCACATTATGAACAGATAAGCTGATAGCAAAAGTTAGTTTGGCTTTAAATGTTTGATATACCAGTGTCTTATTTGAGGCCATTCAAATTCTCACATAATGTTGTAATGTATCGAACTGATAGTAAAGTCTTTAATATAAAGATGTGGAATTGGTCGTATAGGCCTGTTGACAGGCCTTTTGAGCTTCAATAGATGCCAAGTATTGAATGAAGTATGAGGTATTGGTGATGCCAAAGTACTTTTTCCAAGAAGGAATCTTTCCGAGGAGTCTAATATAAAATGTACATTGAATTCTTTTAAACGTTGTTTCATTAATATGCTTATGTGAGTCACACTTGCTTGCAGAATGTGGTGGTGGTTTCACGAGCAAGCTGGAAGGGATGTTCAAGGACATGGAGCTATCCAGGGACATTAATATTGCATTCAAACAGGTGGGTGTGGTAAAATTCACTGTAAGGGCTTGCATTCGCAGGGTTGATTGTGAGACAAGTATTCAGTACTTGTATGTTACGTTGCATCATGTCGCATTTCCTAACATAATGATAGCATTATTTTCTTCATAATCTGCAGATTAGTCATTACATCATTAGGTATATCAGTTAGTAATGTTACTGCAGAGCCACTGAAACACGAGAATGGGAAAATATATGTCGAACTCAATATTTTCATACTGTTTTTGTAACCTTGCCGACTTCTCTTGTTATCTTCTTCTCTGAGCACTCAGTAATCTATGATCAACACTCACTTCATTTGCCATCGCTTTTCTTCGTAGCATCTGCAGAATATATCGTCACCCGATAACATAGACCTTACAGTGAACATATTGACGATGGGCTATTGGCCAACATATGTTCCCGTGGAGGTACACATGCCACCAGAGGTCAGTACAGTGCAGCCTGCTACTTTACTCGGTCGCAAATTAAGTCCGCACTTCAACGGGTTTACATTAGAAAGAATTCGAGGATCGTGATTGGTATTGCTGTCTATCACCTAGTAACCGAGAATAGGTTATAGTTACCGTTGAATATAGCACCAACTGCAGATACATGGTTATTGTTGCAGGCACTGTTGCAATTATAATTTATAAATGTACACTACTTTTTTGTTGAACGATATTTGTAGTACTGTACTTAGTTGCATGTTGTGTAAAGGTTTGATGCAAATAAGTATACAATTAACAATTTTTCAGATGGTCTCATACCAAGAAATATTTAAGAAGTTCTATCTGGCAAAGCACTCTGGACGCAAGCTACAGTGGCAGCCAACACTAGGACATTGTGTGCTCAAAGCAAGCTTTAGTGCTGTAGGTTTTCTGTATATATATCAGCATGTAATTGTAGTCGCACCATAGTCTCGTTATTCATGTATATATGTATATATATGATTAATCATTAATGTCTTTCCAAACAATGCAGCTTGAAACGACTGCTGTTATAATGCATAATTACTAATTATTTGTAGAGTACTAATTGCACGACAACCATTTTTCATTACTGCAAGAATTAAATTAATTACATAGGAAATTGGCAAGACCTTGCCGATCTATTACTTCATGCAGCTGCTGCCGTCATCTTTTCCAGGGAGCGAAGGAGCTTCAGGTTTCCTTGTTTCAAACGTTGACGCTGCTGCTGTTTAACGGCACAGAGGAGCTGGCACTAGAGGACATCGCTCATCAGACTGGCATAGGTACGCTAGAGCAGTGCTTCTTAAACTATCTTGGTTTCATTCACCCTCGAGTCTTTATCACACAATTTTATTCACCCGCGATTAAATTTACTTGTGTTTGTGGTAAGTTTCATTTACCCTTGGGTGAACCATTCACCAATTTAAGAAGCAGCGAGGGTCGCAGATGGCACGGTAGCATGAAATATTTCATAACGCATTGTCAACAAGACGTTCTAGATAAGAATCATGGCAGTACAAAACGAGTAGTTTGATAGAAGTGAATTAGAAGGAGTATAGATAGGAGTAGTGAAACTGTGTATGTCAAAGAGTTAGAGGGGTCGCAGATGGTGCGGTAGCGTGAAATATTTCAGAACGCATAGTCATGAACACGTCCTAGATTAGAATCATGGCAGTGCGAAAAGAGTAGTTGAATTAAAAGAAGTATAGATAGGAGTAGTGAAACTGTGTATGTCAAAGAAGTGGGCAGGCACATGAGATGAGTGCAGAGGTAGGAGAAGAACAATCGTAGTTTGGGGGGGAAAGGCTAGAGCAGTTTAAGGGTAGCTAGGATGATAAGGAAGAAATAGTACCTAGATAGCATGCAGGGTGAGGTTAGGCCTGAAAGAAGGCAGGTAGACAAACGAAAATGCTTAAAGACAGGAGGAAGACCGTGAAGTAGAAGAAATCTAGTTGGGCCACGAGTAGGGAAACTAGTAGAATAAGAGCATGACATCTGAAGGCCAGAGAGACAGGAGACACACACATGGGTTGTAGACGGGTACGGTGAAGGAAAATATGGTTTGGGGAATTCATAGCATCTAAAAGAATTGTAGAGAATTAATGCATTGCCGTTGCTCTGCGTATTTGTATTGTCAGTCGTGTGACGCGACCGACTTGTATTTACACTCTTCAGAGGACACTGAGCTGAGACGAACACTTCAGTCATTAGCCTGTGGAAAAGCCAGAGTTATCCAGAAAGTGCCAAGGGTAAGCAAGCCATTTCAACTCGTATATGTTGTTGTGGTAACGTGAACATTTGTTAAAGTGGCTTCGATATTCTGTAAATGTATTGTGTATTTGCTTTTTTTTTGCAAAATAAGAACGTGTTCTATAGAGTACCGAAGTGTGACGTCACGTTGGCAAGACAACGTACGGGCTGGTTCTACACAAGCCACTGGCTCCATAACATTAACTGCGTGAAAATATTGTGCGTACGTAAAACACGAGTGTGTGCGCTGCAGACAGCGGTAAAGCATCGGTAGCAAGTCGATCTTACAATATTTACTGAATTAAAAAAAAAAGACTCTCAGAATGATGGTTACAATCGGGTACAAAACACGACACGCAGTTAATGTTACCAGAGCATATGATTGTGTAGAACCAGTAGGTTCGTTGTCATGCCACCGTGACGTCATCACTTCGGTACTCTATATGCTACTACTGTGTCGACTATATTAATAATGATTTTCGGAGTGGACCAGTTATAACAGAAACCAATGAGGTGTGAGTAACGTTATTGTGAACTGTTTGTTTTTTGCATTGTAGGGAAAAGATGTGGAGGATGGGGACAAGTTTGTTTTCAATAACGAATTTAAAAACAAATACTTCAGGATTAAAATCAATCAAATCCAAATGAAAGAAACAGTAAGTATGTCTACACACAAGTTCATTATATTGTGACTAATTATCAGTACCCGTATGACTAACAGGTAATTGAAAAGGGACTAAGGTATATGAAAAAGGACTTGTGAAAGGACTGTAGTTATTATTTCGATGGCAGCTCTTACACTTATTGCCCCTCTCTATTGCTTTGTGCTGCTTTCCTCCCCCCCCCTCCCCTCTGCCCCCTCTCTCCCTTTCCCTCTGCCCCCCTTTCTCTCTCTCTCTCTCTCTTCCCTTCTGCCTCTCACCTTCATGTTCACTCTCTCTATATATATATTTGATAGTATCATTTTCTCTGTCAGTTAATGTCAGTGAAGCTTATTAATGAGCACGCTGTTAATTACCAGGCTGAGGAGCAGATCAGCACCCAGGAGCGAGTGTTTCAAGACAGACAGTACCAGATAGACGCTGCCATCGTGCGCATCATGAAGACTCGCAAGACACTCAGCCACACCCTGCTTGTGTCCGAACTGTATGAGCAGCTCAAATTCCCAGTTAAGGTACGTACGGCATCATCAGTATCAATGTTTTGCGTTGCAAAACGTACTTGTTAAAATTGTGCGAAGATTGTGATTTATCCAACGTTACACTGCTCTGTGATGTATCAATCCATGTTCTTCCAACCTGGCCTTCCTATCACTACACGTCCTTCAAACGGATTTTGTTTTTGAGCATTTTTGCTTGTTTTGGGTGTCCACCAAATTCATGTATTTGACTATTTGCAATGTCTTTTCTTGTCTGTTTGTGCAGCCGGGAGATTTGAAAAAGAGAATCGAGAGCCTCATTGACAGAGATTACATGGAGAGGGACAAGGACAACTCCAACATGTACAAATACGTAGCGTGAGATGCGTCCCGTCATGTCGGATGCTGTGCCTTCCTCATCCATTCTAATTGCCATCACATCGTTACTGTGAGGTGTATGAAAGGAGATTAGGCAGCACCGAAGCAATCGAATCCTCTCCCATGGAGGGGTAGTCAGAGTTGGCAGTGTACATTGAACATGGGTGTAACAGGCAGAGACGTTGCAGAGTGATGCTATTTTAAAGTATGGCGTTTCGTTCATGAAATTTTCGTCGACTTACACATATTTACGTAAATGCACTATCGCAAGAAGCTTTAATTGATCTAGGCATGTATCCGAGTGCTGATATTGGAACAAGGTCTTCACACTTGCTCGCTTTATAATACCCAGTCATAAATCGCATTCCTGCTCTTGCTCTCTCTCTCTCACTCCCTCCCTCCCTTGCTAACTCCATCCCACCCTCTCCATCTCACTCTTTCTTTCTCTCATCTATCTCTGTTGGTCAGAGTTCAGATAATGCTCAAAGCTAAATACTAAAACGTCCGTAATGGAAAAACAATTCATGTGAATCCTCTCAAGCAACAGATGCTAAGTAAACAAACGTTGATTATCGAATCAATTGGTGATAAAACAATTTCTGATTAAAGCCGATTGTGTGCTCACTATCTACCACCTACTAGCATGTAGATTGCCTTGCTATGAAAAGCTCACCCGTAGAGCAAGTTTATTTTGTCTAAGATGTCTTGGTTTGGCCCTTGCATTTATGCCCTATGCTCCAGCATAGAAATATCTTGAAGGCTGCCAGGTCATAATAGGTCTTTTGCCCCGTGTAGTATTGTAGGGGTAAGAATGATCTATTCACGAAATTGTCATTGTACAAATTGAAATTCAACCCATCTGGTAACATTTTGTAAGGAAAGTGAAGGGTATATTTGGCATCTTAATCAGATGTAGAAGAGCAAGCAGCGTCAACTATATTTTTAAAAGACTAACCTAATAGATGTAGAATTTTCAGTGAAGCAGAGCCATGTTAGCCGTGCTCGACTAGCAAGTTTGTACAGTTGATGAGTGTGGAATACCCTCTTGTGACATGAAGAGTACAGGCAATGCTTATTTGTACCAGAATACGTGGTAGCATTATCAATTTATTTATCAGTCCAGCCATTTGAAGGCAACTTGTCTGCCGACGGATTTTTACATTAGCTTATTAGACGTTGTGAGGAAGTGTAATTCTCAATGGTAAATCAGTTGACAACACGTGGTGGTGGCAACCTTTGTACATATATTTTGCCGACGCCGTATTTGGAAACAACTTGTAGACAAACTAGCTTCGTGTTGTGTTCTGCCAGCAGGGTTTTGCTGCAATGGGTATTTTTAACAACCGAGACATGTTTGCCCGGTGCAACAGTTCCAGTGGCAAAGCTATGATACATGTGTCAGTGCTGTTTTGCGCAACTGGACGTATTGAGTTCAATAATAATCTGCATATAAAGAGTGGATGAAGTTCAAGACAGTCGAGTCCACATTTTGGAGGTAATCCCATTGCAGGCATCTTAAATGGTATGTGATATTGCACTCCACTATTGTTAAATATAAATTCAATGATTGTAAAGTTCACAGTGTTGTGGCAAGACCATGGTGGTGATTGGTTTCCTGCTTCTGTACATATTATTAAGTCTTCTTTTTGTCGTTACACATTGATTTTGTATATGCAGTTTTGTGTTGTCTCATTCAGTAATAGCACCTTCGAAATGGGCAAATGTGTGGATGCTAAATTATGAAAACTTGCACTCACTGATGCATAATCAGACATATGCAAACTCCAATCTGATTAGCCTTATCTTCAGGTTTAGTCACCTAAATTTTGAATGGCTAGTCAATACATAGAAAAGGCTGTGCACCCGTGAGTGGAACACTTCATGTTACTAGTGTTAATTTGCATATTTCTCCGATAAAAGCTAGAAGCCACATTTGTAAAAAAAAACGACAACACCTGAATATATGCAAATGGTAATTGCAGCACCGTCATGCTAAAGGGAGGGACTGGGCAGCAGTAGATGGAGATGTCAGCACTGAGTGTACGTATTCAGCAAAGAGTTCTCATAGCTATAGAATTCTGTTTATATCTCTTGCTCATGGAATATATAAACATAGGTGGTAGTTAACTAAAGTCTGCGACTTGTACTGGTCCTCGCTTTCTCGTGGGGGGGAATTTGCAAGCACATTTTCAAGTGAGTCATGTGAAGTAAGCATTATTGAAATGACGTCCCAGTTCTGGACACGCCCTATTGATGATATTTCAATGTTGCTTGACGGCTTTTCAGAGGCTGAAGTTGCTTCGGTGTTAGTGACGTTTCACAGTAGTGAGAAACGCGCGGTTGGGCCGCATGCTTGGCCGCGCCAGATTTTGTACAAGCTGTGTAGTCGGTGAGAGATTACTAGCTGCAATGAAGCCAGCCCCATATATATATTTTTACTTGGAATGTCTTGTAGATTTATTTCCGTTGGCCGTCAACAATATTACCAGTCTCGCGTATATCCACTGAAATCCTACGCACACCCTCAGTGCTTTTGTTGTTCCTTACTGAAGGGAGTGTAGTGTAATATATTTAAACTGTACCATATTGTGATAAAATAAAATTCGTGTAGAACTAAGCTGTCTTCGTCTCTTTTGTATTATGTCTTATTCGTTTAGCAACATTTTTCGCAAGTGTAGACATATAAGAACATGGAAACAATGTTGGCAACAAAATTTCTCAAAACATGAAGGTCTCTCATGCATATAAGATTTAACCTTTATACACATACATCTTAGCCAGCTCTAATTATTTTCTAATAAAAAACTTTACAGCAAAAATTACAGTACACTAATTACGAACTAACTGCAACACAAACACGTGCATAATAAACAGTAAATATAAGATAACCCTATACTATAGAATGAATTGGACGGAATTTAGTCTGCTACCAGCGTATCACGGTGTAGTAACAGGCTATGCGTTTCAGACGTTGAAGAATGGTGCTCCTATACCTGAAATGGACACAGCTATACCTGTTGCTGCCCCAATGCTGAGCAGTGGATCTCACACACAAGATGAGCTGTCCAGGTGCATGCAACTGCTTTGAAAGGCTTGTGAGAAGACCAACCTCAGTAGTAGTACACACCAAATGCTGCTGCTACACAGAAAAGAGTGTCCTGCAGATAGAGAAAGTGAAGGTAAGATTGGCAATAAATCGATATAAACCTATGTTACAATAAACGTATGGAATAAAAAAAAATTAACTAGATATCTGTTACGTAAAGAAGCTGATGCTTAGCTAGTATTACTGTATTAAATTTATACATTTGCCATCGGATGAATTTATTATAATAAATTTTTAGCTTGCTGCTAAGGATACACATGTACATTGTGTCCATTATGTGATAGTGTAGGTAACTTGACTTGATACCTACATTCATATACACATCTTGTGCATAGTTATCTGTATCACAGTCCCAGAAACATCGGCTTGCAACCCTAACAGGAAGAGATAAGTATATAAATAAATAAACAAATAACTAACTAAATGTATGTGCGTGCCTGGCTGCGTGCATGCGTGCGTGCAGTATATGTGAACAAAATGTTGACAGATAGGATTATTTCACTTACTTCACTCCTTCTCCCCTTTGTTCTCCAATTATCACTTGCACAACAATTTTGTATCTCTCATACTCCAGTTCTGAAACAATTGCAAACATATAAACATGTATTTTATAACTACAGCCGACATATATATTTTGATTAGCATGACCACGATCACGATCATATCGTGTAGCTATCTATGTTTATGGTCTTACAGATAACTCTACGTAGACATTACGTAGTTTGTGCATAAACAACCCATATATTTATTATTTGCCTACCACCTACAAAAAGCATCTACCACAAACAAACATGTCTCGTTTCATGAACACTACTTTGAAGCAATTATCAGGCACAAAGATATTGACATCGTATTGCCATAGCTAGGGAAGACATTGAGAATACTCTACAAACTAGTGAATACCATTCCCTGCTAATACACAAGGATGTGATATCAATAACTACTCTGCTAACCCATGCATAACACATCAACCTACATGTATTCCTAATGTCAAACGAGTATCATAGTGTCAAGATAATTGAATAAATCTATGGATTGCCCCTGCTATATTAAATACATACCTTTCAACTTCTCCTTAATCTCGGTGGAAAGTTGCTTAGTCAGTTCTGAAACCTCTTCTGGGTCATACTCTTTACCAGCAAGTTCATTTCTTAGGATCTCATGTATGCAATCCTTTACAGCAATTGGTCTGAATCTACAAAGAATTTACTTGAAATTTAGATCACAAGATCTTTACTTTAGTAAAACTAAAACATTCAAACCACAAGAAACTAAAATAATAAGAACATGCACTTACCAATCACGATGCATGCTTTGAAACTAAACACTTATTTCTTTAGAATTAAAACTGAACAAATCAAAATGGGTATGTAGCATAAATAATTTACTAATAATGCTAAAAGCTCTCTCAGCCAATTTACTTGTGTTGGAAGTTTGGCCTTATCATGTAGGTGTGTTCTGATGGTTCTTCGACCTCTGCCATTCTGCTGTGGTTGTCTTGACTATTATAACAATGCCACCTACAATCGTACAGTATATATATATATATATATATTATATAATTATATATGAAAGAGCAAGATTAGCCACAGCTGCAAATGGACAAAAAAGGCACTTTCTGGGCAATCTCATATTTAGGCAATGTACTTGAGCCCTTTCATGTGCATTAATAAATCCCTATAAATGACGGCATGCACTCGAACCCCGACATGCACCCTGCATATGTTCAGGATCGATAAAACTACCATCCTCTGTATTAGGTAATCATTATACTGCTTGGTACTGCTATAGTGTTACGAAAAAATGAAGTATGGGCTCAGTGTTCAACGTGGCAAGAACGCTCATGAGGGTGCTATGTCCCCCCATGGTACTCCACCCCGGCCAGAACGTTCCCTGGGTACGGTCCCGGTATACCGAGACGTCGCCTGGAAAGCTATTCATGATATGGTTCAGAGTTGGGTAGGGGTAGGCGTAGGCGACTGCCGCTAGACTCGTTAGTCGAGTAGCGCGAGCCAGCACCCGCCGGCCCCGCAACTCCGCCACAGCGCGGGGGAGGGGGTGGCAGGGGGGTTAGCGCACCCCCCCCTTAAAAATTCTTGAGTTGCCCTCTCTTTATAGGAACAGAAAGCGAAATTTCCCCTCTTTCATCTCCCACCAATTTTTATCAAAAGAATGAGTACTAAGACTTCTATACCTAATAAGACAGAAGCAAAAACTACTCACCCCGAAAATAAAGTTGATGTTGTTGCCCGGATTTGTTTAGGGCGGGACGGCGTCCGCACGCCGACTGTGTTCTGCAGCGCGACTAGATGCGCGCGACCTGACACGGGTTGATTGCGTTAGTAGACTGGGGTAGGCCGTCGAATCCTGGCGTACCTAACCCCTCCTCCTAATTCTTAGCTTCATCAATTATTCAATTCTGAAATAGTTTCGACTGTTGATCTTGTTGGCATTATTTTAGCTTAGAACTACTTTAGTGTATGTACTAGTTGCTGATCTCCATTCTCCTACCACCTCTGCAAGCACACGACCCAACACCTCATCCTTGGTCTCAACACTCTCTGGCTCAAACAGTACCAGTAACTACTGGCGCACAGGGCGTGTACGGGGGGGGCGTCCCAGCCGGCGGCCTGCCGGACCCGCCGCCCAGCCTCGCCTCCCCCCCCCGCCCCCCCCGCACGCCACACACACCGCATCCTGAGCGCCGCAGTCGAATCTTCAAATTCCCTTCTTGACCCCAGACCCCGCCCTGTGCCCGCCCCCTCAGCCCGCTGGCCGCTCCAAGTCTTCGGGTTAGCGGGTTGGTAGGCGCGCCGGCGCGCTACACCTTCTGTAGGACCGCGGGCCGGTGTGGCAATAGTAAATCAACGTGAGTAAATGCAATTCCTTAAGTAGGCAGATGACCTATCAGTGCGCAGGCGGGGTGGCGCGCGAGTCGTTTGAACATTCAAGTTGAAGTTCGCAAGTTTTATAGTAAACCTGGTAGTGAACACGGAAAGCACTAAATAATAAAAAATTAGTACACTGTATACTGATTTCAATTTTCTTATTGTAATACTAAGTCGTGCTTCAAACTATCCACGGGCTAGTCCGCAGTTTGAGTCTTCACCGGGTACCTCAGTATTGGTCCTTGTCGCTCTGCCGATCGGAGCCAGTCCATACTTTCCAAGCAAGTCGTGATCCGGGTTGTTTGTGGCTTTTCGTGGACCTGTTTGCCGTTGCTACCTGGAATATGTCTGTTTCCACTACACTTGCTATGGACAAGACTTCGACAGTACAAACAGATGTTGCGCACGGACCTCACTCCACTCCGCGCCCTCCGGGAGACAACCTCGCCCGACTGAAGAACAAGACGGCCCAGCTCCGCTGCATTGGTGCTCTCTGAAGGAAGTGTTCTGGGAGGGCCGCGCCGCGGACCCCCGGCGACCCGGGTTCCTTGCGCACCCTGCGGTCCGTCGCGCACCGGAGCGGCTGGCCGCCGCCCGGCCACCGGCTTCAGGTCTGCCGCCCCTCAAAGAATCTCGCACAGTGCTCTTCCCACCTGCCACCCCCCCCAGCCCCTAGACAAAATCCTGGGGGCATCCGCGCCCTGGCGAGGCTACGCTGGCGAGCGGCATATTAGATAGTACCAGCATAGGGCCACGTTCCGGGTATACGTCCCGCCCCCCCCGGCCACCCCCCCCAGCTACACGCCGGCCCACGTTCGGCGCAGCTCGACACCTGGGGGACACTGAGAGCCGCTGCTCCAGCGGCAAGCAACCATAACTACTACTACTCGTACTACATTATGGCCCCAGGCACGTGAGCGTTTCAACTGTAAACACATCGCCGCCGGCCGCCATTCGCGCGTCACCAGCCTGACACACTAAACTAAGCGTATAATGTGTCGAGTTGTGCCGCGCCACGAATGGGGCGGCCGTGTGTTTACGGGCAGATTACAAGTCGGTGTGAGAGACGCTTCAAGTGGCCTGTGGATGACTGACTCCGTGGTATCAGTATTGTTGCTAATTAAAAAAATAATGACACTGGTATGTCATGGCTGGGGAACAACGGCCTACTCTGTGGCGGAATCGGACCCGGCTCAATGGTGCATGGTCGCTTGGAGAACGGCTAGATATTGCCTTAAGAGTTGATAATAATGAATATTATGCAGGAGTCTATCAATAATTATCCATGTTGGTCTTCGCCGACTGAACGGCAAGTTTAGTTCATCGATCAAATTGCCATTGCTTGATAAACACATCTTCTAGCGGACCTTGGTGGCCGGTTGTCAAGATAGAGAACATGCCCATGCATGGTCGCGCAATAGAAGACCAAGGTGGTCAGTTACCATCAATATACATATAAATTATATGCAATTATAGACTCACGGCGTTAGGGTTAATGGTCTAGGGTGAGGGTTAGGGCCCCAGCACCCTTGGCTTTTATTGGGACGCCGATGTTGCTCGTATCCTTGGGCGCACTACTTAATAGAAATGATTAGGTTAGTTATCATAATGTGAAAGGGTGTTACCGTCCAAAATTTGAATCTCATGAAGATGTCACTGTAAAAGTGTAAGATACATACAATGCAATTTTCTAGCAATTAGAATTCGACGAGCATGCGCACTCTTTACACTGGGGGCGCCCCCACCATCGCAATGGCACTAGGCGCGAAACCCCGTGCACGAGTACGCCACCCGCGGCCCCCCGCACGGCCCGCCCCGCCCACTCTCATCTCTCTCAAAACTAGGGGGCGTCCCACACGATCCAATAATACAGCTCTACCCCGAGCAAAATGGGGTAGACTGTGTAGCCCCGGCCCCGCCCGCCCGGCCCGGGCGCGGCCCCGGTGCGCACGCGACCGGAGGTGGAGGGCGAGTACACCGGGCGGTCTATAGAAAATCCGCCAAGCCTCACCCGACGGCCCCTTGGCTTTGCGGGCAGGGCCCGAGCGGCGCCGCCACACTCCCCCACTGCATCTCAGAAGTCCGATCTGCTTTGGGCATCTCCGTAAAGAGTGAGTTAAATGGGCGTAGTCAATGATGGTGTAATGAAGGGTCAAGTGAGGTTAAGCGGAAACTGTTACAACCGCTTCGATGCGGGGCATAGGACTGTTATAACCTATATCACGTACTCACTACCGCCGATATATACTACTTAATATATATGTATAAGTATATACGTAGCTTTATATATATTATCATATATCATACTTATATATATTATGGACATACCTACTCATACCGGCCTTATACGGTACTCCCTTGAGTGCCCATAGAGCGGTGATGGTTTAATCATTATGCTGCGTCCTTGCCATGCATATATAGTGAATACCATAGGGGTTCGATGGGGCGGGACAAGCGGTAGTGGACTCGGGGGTTTGAGCTCTGTTTGATTGGCACTACAGAACTGTGTCTCGTCGCCCTCACGCTGAGTCGCCAACGCTCCAAGGAGCTCCGGATCCCAGTGCCTAGGATACACCCGCCGTGGATCGTATTAGAACATCGGCCCCCGGAGCAGTCAATCAAAGAACGATCAGTCGCATACACTGTGATGCGTAGTTGTCTTAGTATTCATCGACGTGCCGGCATTCTAAAGACATGACTAAGGTAGATGACTAGATCTGAGCGCAGGGCGGGCGGTCAGATGGTCGTGCTGCGTGCGGGGCGCCCGCGTCGGCGCGGAATGCGTATACAACCTGAGAGGGCTCAATTGTAAAGAGTTCAGGAGGTAGACGTCCTCCCTCGGGTAGTACAAAGTGGTATCTCCTCTCATCGATCTGCAGGTGTCACCTTGATTTCAGTGTCTCACTGGGCCTCATATGTCCGAATTAGGCTGAGGTGACACTCTTCGCTCTACCCCTGGGGCGGCGTCAGCATCGGGGTGAGAGTCAGTTCACAGGCGCGCACCGGTGCCCGTCGCGGCTAAGTACGGAGGTTGCATAATACACGATATCTCGACATACTAGGGTAGATATGAGGATCGCCGCATCGAACGTCCGAGTTAGGGTGACCTAGCTCAGTAGTAGTGGGATAATACATATAGATAAATATAACAACATATATTATAATATACTATAAGTATAGCGGAATACCTAGTCAAGCTGTGTGACAAGTTATACTCTCATCTGATTTATTACACATATACGCACTTTATAACTATCTTTCACGCGAGATGGCGCCAAAGAGTCAAATTTGAGCAAAACATTTTGTAATGCCATTGGATGGTGGCGCCCCTCGTGGAAAGAACGGGTACTTGCATTTTCGTATGTTATTGGATGGTGGCGCCCCAGTGAAAAAAGTGCGCATGCGTCGAATTCTAAGGGCGAGCCAATCGCAAAAGGTTGAGCTTGTTTTGTCGCTAAATTGACGTCACAGGGCAAGGCCTTGTCACAGGGTCGTCACGTCGGTGCATGCGCAGTTTACTGGTTGGCAGAAAGCATTGCTCTTGGCCTTTCGTAACCAAATTTTATCGTCGATAGGATCGAACGAAAGAAAGAAACCTAATGAGCCATAAACAGCAATATATTATATACCGT